AGATAGAGCTGCCCCAAAGGAGGTATAAAAGCGAACGGTGTCTCTTAGGTCATCTACAATTACGTAACTGTCATCAATTTTAACAACTGAATAGAAATGACCAGGTTTCACTAACACTGCTGCCGTGAGTATATACTCTCTCCCCTGAACAGTCACATATTCGTCTACAATGACATTAGGTCTTTGTTGATGTTTACCATTTTCATCTAGACCTAATGTCACCATGAGGAAATTTGGCATATCATATAGCCCTTCATTATCAGCACCAGTCAGAGCTAAAGGCTTACAACAAAAATGACACAAGGTACCTTTACACATTTGTTTGGCTGTTTGGTTAATGACCTGGTTAAGACCTCCAGCAAAGTTGCCAGGATAGTTTGCATTCACTGTCTGGTCATAATAAAGGACTGGGCCAACTGTTCCGCAAACTGGAAAATATTTGCTGCAAATTTCACAAGTACCATATCCATTATAAGTTGCAAGGAACTTTTTACTTGTGTCTCCAAGCAGCTCAAACGCCTGGAGAATTTCAGCATCGGGCCGCCCTTTAGGTGTGTAACCCTGAACGTGTTTGGAAAGGTAATTCCACACTTCCTCTCGAATTTCACAGGATGGACCCATGGTATCACGAAACTGACAAACTTCAATCAATCTCTTAAGGAGTGGATTTGCACCACTTTCTGTGCAGTGTGGGTCAAAACGATAGATGCCAAAATAATATACTTCCAAGAGAGCATCTACACCACACGTGGCCCTCAGTATTCCATGATCATGACGGTGGCAATGCAATGCATTTTTGAAATGCTTAACAGACTTCTTCGATTCAAATGCAGTTACAGCATAATCCATAGTAAATATAATTACATATAAAAGTGAAGATCATGGCAGGAAAATTCTCTTTTGGAAGTCGACTCTGCCACATTTTTGCAGAATACACTTTAATTACTTAAGTTAGATAAAAGATGCATGGTCTGTATCTGGCCATGTGGTTTGGGTCTAGTCTATCTTTTATTAAAAACAAGAGTATGTTTTTTAATTGTGAATAAGGATTTCTTATTCTTAACCATTTCTTGGTATAGTTGTAAATTTTCAGCATTTCTTGGGCATCAGTCACACAGAATAGTTGACAGAGAACAAGCATCACTAAGTTACATTTTTACAAGAAAGCATATGCTGTCTTAGAATTTGCCTATAATTGACAGACGTTATCGAAGAGTCAAAGTCTGCCACATGAACACTCCCTGAAAGTGTGAGGTCACGGGTAACTCTTAGTTTTATGCATGTAACAAACCTTGTGACTCCATCCTTTTCACTTTTGTCCCAACCCTGCCCAAGAACACTGTCCAGATTTCCAAGATTTTCTTTTTTATAACTGTACTCCGTAGTGGTTGAATCGGGTATGCACATGTTAAACAACTCACAATCAATCTCAGGGGACATAAGCCCTAGATCAAAAATTCTTTTTCTGGTGCTGGTCCAGAAGCAGGATTTAATCTCCTTTAGAATTGTATTTGTGACCTGTCTTATTCTGAAGATCTTTCTGAAGGAGGCATTTTCTAGATTATTTTTGGTCTGTGTGAAAGCTTCTCTTGCCACCTGTTTTGATTTTGTTTTAGCTGCTCCAGTTATGGCTACTTTCATTTCTGAAAGATGGGAAAGAGGAAGATTTACCGTTATATTAATGTTGACATTCCCCAGCATTAATGGCCAACACATAGCAGATTGGTCATCGATGTATATTTCAGCAATCATCACCTCTAGGTCCAAACCATGAACCTGTATAAAGAAGAGAAATGACTTTGATTTCAGTTTGCTATATTTATTTTAAATGTACATGTATTCTGTAGTGCACCAAGTTTGTCATTGCAGAAGTAATAGTAGGTACAGCAGATTGCTTAAGAAAGGGTGTAAGAAATTGCAGATTATGCATGAAACAAATACAATATAGAAAGAGATATTCAATTCAAATACAGTGTACATGTACTGTACATTGCTGGTAACTGTGTGCACCAACAAGGCCGCAATTACTTCTCAACCCAGCATTCATAAATACTCTTGGGATGTAACAATTAAATATTGACCTGTTAAACTTCTCATGCACAACAGCAAATTAGCAATTGTTGACCCCTTACTCTTTCTACAAAGTAACTGAATTTTATACCCAAAAAGACAACTCACCTCATACTTCGAAATTATTTTTTGTTGGTTTTCTTACAGACTTTGATTATAAACCCCAGCAGGAGGTGTATTTACATGTATATGGTATTTTTGTCATTGACAAGATAATGTTATAAGCGTATGTACAACGTTAAATATCGAACCAATTACATTAAGTGTCTATCAATATGAGAGTGATCATATGAATAGGAAAGATTAATTATCAACATTCATCTACCTTATATATTTGCCCACACATGTGCTGACCAGCTGAAAAGACAACTTGTTCTTTCCGATGCCTTGATGAAAGAATGGAATCCGCATGTGGAAGAGACACAGCTTGTTCATCATGGGATAGTGGCGGGACGACTGGGGAACTTTTTGTTTCTTCACTCTTAAAATAAAACCATATTTGTATCATTTATTAGCAAATACATGTAGATGAATGCACTTTTCTTTCAATATCCGACAAATCAACAGCACTTTAAGACATATTTTCTCTACAGTAATCTCACGGACAATACCTTTTTATATTGCTTTTTCTTTTTTCTCCTTTTTGTAGGCTGTTCATCAGAATCAGTACTTTCTGTCAAAAGAAATCCCAATACACAAAATAAATATCAACAAAATAGTAAATATTTAGGAGTCATCATGACAAAATCAACAACAAAATGCATTCTGATTCTAAAAACGAATTTGTTACTTCTGTGTATATAGTCCAAACAGATTTCACTAATATAAAGATAACATACATGTATAACATATCAAAAATAATGAAATCAAACACTAGAGTCAACTTGTTATTAAATTGCTCTCCTGGTTGTGAAAACTGGGTTTCCACAGAAATCTGAAAACTACATTTCATGACTTTTCCAGGAGATTTTAGGAATAAGTTTTTCTGCAGAAAAAAAGTTGTTTGATATCACACATGTAATTGGGAGAATCGATGCAACAACCACTACAATAAACTAAAATAGAAAGCTTGTTTGCCATTTTTCCATTTCACATCCTATGCGCCAAACCTTTAAAAATGCATGACCAAGATGTATGTGGGGAACCCTAAGAAATTTATATGAGTAATCTTTACCTGGAAATGAAATGTTTTCAAGGTTTACTGCAGTTCCATCTTGCAGGACAATGACCCGTTTGAAGGGATCCACTGTTAAAATAGTGCCATTGTGCCCATCAATTGTTTCAACCTGGTCGCCTTGCTGACACTCTCTCAAAAACTGTAAATGCTTCCTTTTACACTTTTGTGACAGTGATCTTTTTGTGGCTTGCCTGCAGTTTTCTGCAACAAAGATACATGTATATGATATTTGTTGGCTGTGATGTTCACCCATGTAAAACTGAAATATTCAAAGGTAAAAATCTGTGATTTATGAAGATGGGACGACTTTTCAAATATCTTTCTAAGGTTTTATGGCATTTCATTGCATCAACAGGTGATAATTTTGGAACACAGAAAACTTGCCGGCAATTATTCCGATTAAACGGATTAACTAATTCTTCCTAAGTGGGTTTTTCTTTGAGAAACATGTACAGAGCATAAACAAGTAAATAACCAATTTGTAATTTATTCATTCTTTGTACAAGAACTGGTATGTTTTGAAAATACACATGTACATATTAATTTTTAAACCATACTTCTTAAGGAAATACCGGTATGCCAACAACTGAAGGTTAGAATGTAACATGAGCATGTTACTTACGTCTCTGATGCTCTTCATAGGGAAGTACTGGATGTCTTATGGAATATTCATCCACCCAGATATCATGCCCAGGATATCCAATAAAACTCACTAGGTATGAGCATTCTTCATCTTTGACTACTTTAGCTGCACACCATCTTCCCAACTCATCGACTGCCTGGACGCGACTTCCAATTGAGAATTTTCCTGCCATTTTGCCTTCTTTAGAAACTGAACATTTTGAGAATTGCACCAAGACTGTAAAATAATGGATGATGAAGATGAGGAAATCACCTTAACCTTGTCCTTATATGGCAGCCTATTTACTCCTGGAGACTCCATCGTGGAAGGAAAAAAGGCCCCCAAAATACTTAATTTCAACTGACGACACAATTATCTCATCGATTTTCTGACTTCAAATGATGGTTACATTGTTACAAATTGCTTTCTATACGTGCACCAAACATTTCATATAGATTATTAAATTAAACTACCTGTATGTGACAATGAACTCTAAATTTTTATTTTCTGGTTTTCATATCACTACGCAGCATAAAGCTTGTGATCAATCCAGCAATGAATGACCACAACCAGCAAAGAATGACATAAATCTGTCATTCACTCTGTACCAAGGACTGGTACCTTTAGCAGAGGTCAAAAGGGTAGGACCACTGGTTTATCACCACAAGGGGGTAATAAAAATTGTCCACTGGGGAAAGCTGTCATTTCAGAATGGATGTTTTCTTTCCGAGTTAGAGAGGTCTAACTCGGATTCGTTTAAATGGGAGAAATTCGTAATGAATTCGTTAGTGTATTTTTGTACCCAGCGTGCCCCGCGTCAAATGCGCCATTGATCTCCATTATAAACGCGCGCCTGTGCAGTGATTACCCAATAAACACGCCCTCTAGCGCTTCTTGCTCTCGGAGCCGATTAATGAGTTCACCCAGGGTTCACCGTGACCTCTAATCCCTATACACGCTCTGGACTGTTGTTACCTAACACCCCCCTACATATGTTGACCTTGGTCCCGTGTATATTGAGGTCACATACGCCTTGTGTATAGCCTCGAACATCCCATAGGAGATAATTTACCACACGGCGTGTTGCGCCCACGGAATAAAGCACTATGCATGACACCAGGCAGTACGTGTACACTACAACCGGTGAACAATGAACCCTCCTTCTTTGAATTCACTGTGTTTACGCACTCGACTTGACCCACACTCCCGTTGTAACTGTAGACGTGGTGCCGGCCACTGTGTTGTAGGTTAGTTATGTACATGTACGAATGCCTGTCTTTTTTTAACTCCGCATAATTGGAAGAAAAGCAGCGTGGTTTTGGAGCCTTATCTGTTCTCCCAATCGTCACGGTATACTAAGCAGAAATAGGACACGGTCACCGTACCTCGAGCAGGTCAGACAGATAAACCGACCACGCCAGGCATTCAGTCGCAACGACAACCCTGTATACAGACACGAAAGTGAGAAAAACCTAACTTTTATTTTGTATCTCTAGCGTGCCTCGGTTGCAACAATGTCATCATCACATAGCCTCAGTCAAAGCGAAGCAACGGATTTCCTAGAGGGCGTACTACAGCTGACGGCTCCGCTGGAGAACCTGGCGAAAGATCGAGTCGGCTTCCTGCGTAAAGTCATCACCGCCTTTCTCGGCAGTATTCCCTTCCAGAGCCTGACGACTATCGCCACGCCCAAGCCGGAGAGGCGAGCGCTGACCTTCCCCGAGATCAAGGCAAGCATGATGGCCCGCGTGGGCGGGTTGTGCTTTGAGATGAATTACTTCATGAAGGCGCTCTTGGAGGCGCTGGGATTCGAGGTATACCACGTGGGCGCCAGTATCTCTGGGAGGCCGAACAATCACCTGGTAACTGTGGTTAAGAGTCTGGTCCTACCTGGCGACCTTCATCTGGTAGAGGTTGGCTGCGGGTATCCTACGTTTGAACCCATATCTCTGGGCTTTGATAAGGAGTCACCAGTCTACACGTCAGGTTTCCTGACGCACAAGTTTGTGAAGGATGACAAGGGTGGCATCCAATGGATTCACAAGGCGCGGCGGCACTACAAAGCAAGGGAAGAGGCAACCGATGGCGAGTGGTACACGTTCATGGTGTCTGACCTGGTGTTCCACGATATCGAGTTCTTTGCGGACAGCATGGAGAATGTCCACACTGTGGAGAGCGGCCCGGAGGCCCTGGCGCCCTTCTTACAGACTCTAAGGGCGGTAAGCTTCCGCAACGGCAAGCTTCTAGCCATCAAAGACACCGCCATCTTGGAGGAAGACGACAGTGGCAAGGTAAACAAGAAGAGCGCAACGCGCCCTCAAGAGCTGTTGGAGGCATTCGAAAATCACTTTCCCCAGTTTCCAGCGGAGTCTGTTCTGAAAGTTTTGGAGACTTTTGATCTCAAATTTGACTGCTAAACCTGTTCACTGAAATACAAAAACTATATTTTGACAATATCGCCATATCTAAACATTTAGTATTGCGTCTGTTATTAATATCAGGTTTGTGAAACAAGCTCAGGGTTCAAAAAAATGCCTTTTCTTCTGTTATATAAATTTGTCGATTTATGTGTACAAGCGTGTCATACATTATGTTGACCCCTACACAAAAGAAGTCCATATAATGTAGCGTACGATGGCGTTGTGTGGACTCGCACACGTCCACCCAATAGAGTACCGAAGTGAATACGTCACGCGCACTATTAGTGTGTAAAAGGCATTAGCGCCAGAACCAGCGCGTGAACCAACACGCGCGCGTACCCCATTCTTTTGTACTGCCTTTCTGGTTCACAGTGACGTCACCCTTCGGTACTCTATTTTTACCCCTCTCTGAAAAACAGTTGGCATTTGGGGGTCAAGGTTACCTGTGGCAAATGAAGAGGAACAGTCCAGGAAATCATTGTTAAAAATCCAGCTCGAAGGAGTTATCGTAGTGACAGAAAAAGGAGTTTTTATCTTACCACAGTAGAACAAAGGAATGTCCACACCTCGTATGTAAAACTGGCTGAGTGAGGTGGTACAGAATCCTGCACTCCTAATGTTTTGGCTTAGATAAATTGTTCCCTAAATTGCCTTTGGCCCCCATGGGTAGACATTTCTTTCTTTTTTTTTTTCCTTTTTTTCTTGCTCTCTCTCTCTCTCTCTCTCTCTTTCTCTCTCTCTNCTCTCTCTCTCTCTCTCTCTCTCTCTCTCTCTCTCTTAAGCAGATGCAGCTCTTGCAACAATTTTCTTAAAATTATTCTTGTTTTCTGTATATGTATCTATCTTGATTTCATTAAGCTGAATATAGTCTGAGCACAAGCACCGTAGTTAGTATTAAATAGAAGCGCTTCGCTGCACTCAATGCTGATGCGTAGGCCTATAAGGTTTACTTTTCAGTAGAGATTTAACGTCATCAAGCCGTTCCATTCATGGACGTTGTGATGAGAGTAGCACTGGACTCGGGAGTGGTTGACATGATACGAAGTTAATTGGAAGTTGGTGGCTAGCTTAAATGGGTGTTGTGTTTAACAACGAAAAGAAAACTTTGAACAGCTCAGGAGCATTAAGTGCAATTTCTAGGCGTAGTTTTAATGCGCCACGTTAAGCAGAGTTGTACTGACTCGAGTTAACGGCGGTGCCACGGATCCATATGTTAAACGCCGGCGTTACCGTCAAATTTTTGCCACTAAACGCTAACAGTATCGGTGTCGACGGTCTGCAGAACCCTTTACGCCTAGATCGTAGTGTATGTGATCACTTGCCCTCAAACCTAGGTGTAAACAGGCAATAAATCCGGTCCTCAAAGCTGCCTTTGAAGTCCATGAAACCCTTCCGAGTGAGCATGTCCTGTTGATTACTCCCCGTAACATTTAGTAGGCAATTTCCACCTTTGTATCACAACATTTCATATCACATACCGAAGAGTCCTTCATCCACAACTTAAGGTTTGCATGCAGTGATATATGCTCAGTTTGTTTTCAAGTTTATTCATATCTACTCTTTCTTCAAGAAATATTAACGAATTGTTCGAAACTTTAAACATTTATATCACATAATAAGTGGGAAGTTGGAAGAAACTGAACGGGGCATTCAGAGAGAGACGTTGCATTGCAAAAACTGTGGAGTTAAATTTGTGTTAATTTAATGCCATGGTGTTATCATAGTACACCCATTACTCTTATGACTCCCAGGGTGTTAAATTAACACGACAGGTTTTACAGTTTTACAGGTTGTAAAGAAAATGAATTTCCAGAAAAATGGTCGATCGCAAAGTACACACTTGGAATCAAGCCCGGGTTGCGTTGGTGGAAGGCAAAACGAGGCAAGTACTCCACCCAGAGGTGGACCAACAGAGGGCGCAATTTTCTTAGCAACAGAGCTTCCATTGGGAAGAACTACACTTCGCTGGTTCATACTATGAAAAACAAAAAGAACACCCCCCACCATCAGCATGGCTCGTTTCAACCGATGAGGGCAGGGGTGCTCAAGAAAGATAGTCAACCTGACTTCAACTGTTAATTAAGGCTTTACAAGATGCTTTTAGCTACAGTTATTGAAGCAATAACCGGGCTGTAGGCCTGTACGAAGTGCACCGGGTATATCCAACACTACACACTCCGTACGGCTTCCTCTCCGCAGAATGAGCCGAACTGCCACGTCGCCGGCTGCCGTGAACTGAACCCGACGTGCAGGTCGGGCGGTCCGCTCTCCGATAGGTCGTCCGTCCACTCCAGCAGCGGGCCGCTCTCCGTCGCCCGCCCCACCCGGAGGGTGGCATCAGCCTTGGTGACCCAGATTCCCCGTTCCGCGTCGGCGTTGAGGACGTCCACGATGCCCTGCTCGTCGTGCCAGGAGGCGCTGGCGTGATGATAGATACCGCTTGTCGAGGTTGTCGACAGAACTGTGAATATATAGGGGCATACCGAGTCTATTGAATGGAAGCTGTGTCTTTGTGTCAATTTTAAAAAGCATCAAAACAAAACAATGGCAGAAAACTAGCCGTGTCATATCCCTGAATACCTGTAGATAGTGACAATTTCGACGGGCATGATGAAGCCGCAATCGGCAGTTCGACAAGATTAACATTCGAATATATTTTGCATAGTGCTTCAGAAATCTCAAGCGCTAAGAAACTGGAAAAACACCATTCAGCCTTATTCACATGTCCCTTCTCGGTTTTCTACTTTTTGTGGCTCCCATTTGAACCGGACAGTTTTCAGCTTTGCAGTAAATGACAAGCTTCCTAGAATCCAGTGAAGGGTTTGTGCCAAAGGTTCCTATTAAAGCCTTTCCCCTCCCCTAACTAACCCTTTTGCTCTGCTCCAGCCAGTGAAGCTAGTTATGTAGCCGTTCGTACCTATGGAGTAGACGGCTCCGGCAAGAGACTCGTCTCTTGACAGGATGAGTCGGATCGTCCCAGCCGTCTGAACGGTGAAATCCACCCGGAGCGATGAGGGGTTAAGGGGCTTGAATGGAAAGCGAGCATCGGTCACTGCGTTTGTCTCGTAGGTGGGGCAGACGACTGAACAAAAAAGAAAAACAAACAAACAAACAAAAAGAACAACTCTTCAGTTATCAGTCAGTTTAAGTTCGTATTGTTTAGTTTGTTTTTGCAACCATGCCTTGAATTGCACGATTGAAACGATTCGTGTCGTGTCGACTTCGAACTTGACATCCATTTCGTGCATGTTGCACTGTGTAGGCCGTGTCCGAATTTACTTGGCTACGGCTGGTACTAACGCGCAAGTCTACGGGAAACTAGCCTTAGCCGCTTATTTTTACGGTTTCCGACACGGCAATACATTACCCGAACATTTCAAGCCCACTGCTTTGGCCTGGCTACAGGAAGTGACGTCATGCCAGCTGCCGTGTCTGCACTGGTTCAGGTGGTCCTCGCAGCCTTGACAGTCCATGTGAGTCAGGTGAACAGCGCCCTCCCCCGTGCCAAATTGCTGGGAGAAGTCTGGGTGAAATGAAATGGCCAAAATCGTAAGAAAAACACATTGTGAGCATTTTGCACATAGTAATGAACGCACTTGCATTTTAAACAGTGGAATGACAGACAGGGAAAATTCGTTTACTCACGTGGGTACTTCTTACAAACAACGCTTTTCTTCTTGGTGGGCGGCTTTACAAGCCATTCGCCCTCTTCGTGCATTGCCAGGCATTGAAGTGAGTCAGCGTTCGGCACGGCGTTCAGTAGCACCGAGGCCCGGAAAGCAGGGAAGCTTCCATCCGACCACAGCAGAGACTTGCGATATGTACCTGTAGAGATAGCAGCAATTAGCAGCAAGGTTGAACGCACTCTAAAAATCCTGGGTGTGGTTGACACCGAATCCGGGGCCCGTCTGGTCCAAATCTTTTCCAGTCAAACAAGATTTGATCAACGAGAGGGAGCGGACCCCACGGCACCCGGATTCCGAGACAATTTCACCTCGGAGTTTTTTTTTTTTTTTTTTTTTTAGAGTGTGCAACATAGAGCTAGGCTATATGTAAAAACTATAGCGCTGATTCATGTACAATGTGTTGCCTACTTGGCCCTTGCACGTTTGTGCACAAGCCAAGGAAAAGTCCAAATTGTGTATAGCTTTTGTACGGCTATTTTCATATCTGCGTTCGGAAACGATACGTCAAGAAAGCCGATACGCGAAAAACTAACGCACACTCAGTAAATGGGCTTTTCGTTTACGCTGCGTAAACAACGCAAACGCGTGCGTGTATACGCTGCAGATAAATTTTGCCGAGACTCGGATTTTAGTGGTACCTGATGCGCGTTGCATTTAAAATGCAAAATTCTATATTTGTTCATCTGATTTCGAACGTCTACAATCATGCACATGGCAAACAAATTGAAGTACTGCATATTGGTGGATTGAAAATGTGTGGACCCAGAACGACGTCAAATTTTCTCCGCTCGGAGAATAAAGAGTTTAAGCGCTCTCGTAATGAGATATAGCTCTACGGTGTAGATCAATACAAAGCACGAAGTACGAAGCACGAACCAGGAGCATTTTCGAGAATAATCCACATTAAAGTTCTGTCCGCCTTGACAAGAAGCACCCCTACATCGGTTGGGGAAAAAAGCCAAGTTGGTGGGAAGGTCTTCATTCTCTCTGTATAAATGCGCCAGCAACGCATGCATTTCACAGCCGTGTTGGGAACCAGCGAATTGCAATTGCCACCCGAAGGAGCCACTGTTGCTAGGAAAATTGCGACCTCTGTTGGTCCCGCTTGAACCTCATACTTAAAGTTGAATAAAAACTCGCACCTACCAGGCTGCTCGCCGCCATTGTGGGCACCGAGCCAGATTTTAGAGAGGTTGGGGAACGCTGTCCGGACAAAGTCGTTCTCGGATGACGTCAGAATGCTTGCCTGCGGGAGTGGGAAGAGAGATTTCCTGTCATTGCTGTCTTTGGTCCTTTGTTAAATTATTTATAAGACGAGTCAATTTTATTTTTTACTTTTTTGGGGGGGAGAGGTTGAACCCTTTTTGTTTGATTCCTAAGTTCCTTACCAAATGAGATGCCGACTGGTGGCAGATGGCAGCAGCTTGCACATATTCCACGGTAACCTCAGCCTCGCTCCCCCAGTAGCACGACCCCTCATGGAAAATCCAGCCCTGGTCGCACAAACTCTCTATCAAACAAAGCGCCACCGAGGACAGTTCAACAGAGGGTTCACAGTCAATTCGAGACTGGCCTTGATTCATTGGAATAACTACGCTGGCATGTCTGACGGAGGAGGGGGACACACGAGGTGCACATATTCATTTGTAATTGGAGGGGACACTGACAGCAAATTATCTATTAAGGCGGACGTTTCACAAGACAACGCCCTGTTAGTGACTGCCCAGATGACTCCATTAGTGAAACCTCCTCTAAAAGTAGCATTAGGGATAGTTGGAAGAGGTCGCGGGAACTGGATTAGGTCATGTATAGCGTTTGGTGGAACGAACATATCACGTGATTTCTGGCCATTCTGTGGATACCCTACCACCACGAACTATTGTGTTGCGGGTTTTTCAATTTGTGTATTTTACTTTTGAGACACTCTGTACTGTTGTAAAATTGCAAATAAGCATCTTTAAAGCATGAAATCCTTCAGCCCCAGTGGAGACCTGTGCGGTCAATCTTTGAATAAACACGAGCCCTCGGGTGAGAAAATACATGACATATGGGTTTGCCTAGGGATCGAATGTCAAAGGTCAGACGACAAAAGGCGGGCATTATGAAGTGACCTGACAAGGCATCCCTTTTCACTGGCTTCCACACTCGACAACGCAGCATGTGAGAAGGCGCTTCGTATCAAGAAAAAGTGTCTGCATTGCGTTTCTTGTCAACATGATTTCGAGTATCTTACGACCCTCGATCCAACAGCGCCGCGAGTGTAGTGTGCGTCTGTCTGTCATATTTTGACATGTCTACTGATGATGGGCTCGCACCAAGCAGGACGAGAAGTTTATATTCCTGACGGTTGTACGTGCTCAGCATGTCGTCATGTCATCAGTGACGCAGTCGAGTACTTTTTGAGAACCAAGTTCTCTACCAAATATTTGACTAGTCAGAAGGGAACAAAGCTGAAGTACGTCGGCATTTGCTGGTACATGTACATGCATAAAGGTAAGATTACAAAGCAACATAATGACTTCAGACCATCACTGTTTGATTAAAATTAACTTTTTAGGACAAAAGCACTCGGAAAGTACTCGGCCGAGTACTTTTCTCCTTAAAACTTAAATTTTACACAACTGGGAGTGTCTTAAGTCTAACATTTATTTTGTAACCTTACCTTTGCACATTTACCATCAAATGCCTGTGCACTCTGGCTTAACTCCCTCTTACCCAGTTCAGTATTTTGCGGAGAACCTACGGAGGCCTACGTACTTCTTGCTGAGATCAGTGGCGGAGTCTACACTCAGCGAGCAAGGAGAAATTGATCTTCAACTTGAAATTTTTCTACAGAAGTTGATCAGGGCCTTATAATATTTGTCAAGTCCTCGATGGAGGAATGTTGCCTTTTATTCTCTACGGGTTTCGGGCACACGAATTTTCTCACCGGCAACAGAAGCCAATTAAGCCGACGGTTTCATCCCTCATTCAGAGACGGACGAGTGGGGGACGCATCCACATGCAGTCCACATGCCCCTGTTCATAAAATCTTTTCGCCCAAATGAAAATTTCCAGATCTGACGTGTTCTCAATATTTAAACGAAATTTTACAAGACGTAACGTCGCATGGTCGGAAAAAAATTTCCAAACATAAAACAGCCGCTGGTTTTGAGTTCAGCGCGCATCTCATCCAAAATCTCACTTCATCCAAATTTAGAAAGCACCCGATCTTTTTGACAGTCAGCCCGATGCAACCCGACGTTCCGAACCTTTTACGAGTCGGCTGTGTTTGACAAGCACATTTATATAAAGTGGAAAATTACCTGACCTAAAAGAGAAATATCCTTCTGAAAATATAAAACACACGAGGGACAGTACAAGGTAGTGGACTCGTACGCAGATGTAGCGTTACAGTGTTATACTTTACTGTAGTCTTTTGGTAAAAGCCAAAAGTACTTGACCACCACACTGTATGTCATGTGCGGGCTCGAGAAAATCTACCACTGAAGACTAAAGAGCAAGTTCAACTGAAGGGCACTCTTTACATGAAAACATACTTTGACCCACAAGAATGTGGTTGGTAGATGATTGAAGAACTCCATAAACGGGGGACAAAAGGCCCAACCGATAATCTCGAGTCCCTGCGACATCCATGGGACATCATAACGCAAGTGTTCGACGGTCGCTCAGCAAATGAAACATTTCTGAGCACGGAATACCGGGCACGCTCGTTCACTCGATCTTGTGTCGGTTTTTTTCGCACGAAAAGAGCCGTGGAGCGCAATAAAACTCATACCAACAGGTAAGAGAGTTTCACGAAGGCTTTTATATGATACATTTCCTGTGAGCACGTCGACGGCGTTGCTCATTTGCATTTGGTATTTGCAACTACGCTGGTGGGTTTTCGTTCTCTAATATTGGCACTACGCAGTCATTCATAGTTTGTCATTAACAACCTTTGCTCTGGTAAACCCGCACAGAGCAGATTGAGTTTCTGAAAATGTTTTTTTCAATAAGGCCAGAAAAGTTGTGTTGCTTTTACCCGACCGATGCCAAGAAATCCTAAATTTCAATTATAGCAATGAAGAACACAGAGGGGAAAATAATGATCTTGCCAGCAAGAGTAGATCCCGGAACTGTTAAAAGTCTTGTAGATTATTATTATTTTTATGGGGTTAATTTGTTTTCCTTTTATGGCTTTTTTTAGCGGCGTAGGCTAAGCTTTGGGGCTTTTTACATGCTTTTGCAACACAGAGAAATGAAATAAGGTAAATACTTCAACCTTTTATTTTTATTTAATTATTCCTATTCTTTTTTCGGGGGCTGGGCTCTGAATTTTTTTTATGTTCTGTTAATTTTTTTGACTCCGTTTGGGGGGGGGCTGGGTATGGCCCCCTTTGCCTTCCTCTGATGATCTGGCCTTCCTTGTCACTGACGGGGTTTTTTTTTTTGGCAGTGATGTTTATTTCTTTCAGTAGATACAACACATACGTTAATTATACATTTCGACAAATATATTTGTACGCGCGAATAGGAGGTAGGGCAGGGCAGTGGTGCTTAAGTACGGTTTGCCAGCGTGTGTGATTATATGCTACATAGGCCTAATATGTTTTGATCAAGTTTGATTTTAAGAGACATATTTTCCTTTAAGTAATATTCAAGAGATGGGTATTCATTTGTTTTGTTTGGTTTCATCTATCACGAAGTGAAGTAGGGAAAATATTACTCATAAAAATGAACTTCAATAAAGATAATTCTCAAAAACAATCTCGAGAACGATAGCAGTCCATTTTGTGCGCCATGCAAACGGAGCTTCGGGATTAGATCGCCTTTATTAATGAGTTCCAAAGTGTGACGTCAGCTGCCATATGACAATTACGCTGTATGTGTACAGAGTGGTCCCAAAAAAGTGAAACATAAAAGCCGTCGGTTAATTTGGTCACGTTTTGAGCTTTTTTACTTTAACTATGTAACTGTGTGTTTGCCGTGAAGTAGGAGCAAATAGCACAACGTGCAAATAGCACGTGGTCAATAGCACTCTCAGTTTCACTGCTTTCAAATGTTACGCTGTTGGATTTTGTGTTTTGCTTTATGCAGGTGGTCTCCTTGAGCCATGTCGAATGTGATTGTAATTTCTGATCCTAAAGTGCTGCAAATGAGTTTTTGCCATACCGTGTTGCAAACAATATGGTGTCTGGTGAAGAATGACTGGACGAATTCCAAATCCGTACGATTAGAAAGCATTACGCTTCTTCTTACACTCCAAACACACCAGGGTCAGATTGACCCGGAAGCTGGCTCTGATTGGGTGCGACCCGTTTTGGGTCATATTTGACCCAATGGGACCAAATTTTGGGTCAATCTGACCCTGGAATTTTAGAGTGTATGGCAAACACACGGTTATAATATACAAAACTCAACATATCCAAATTGATTATTTTATTTCGGGATTCATTTTTTTTCTGGAACACCTTGCACAGTTTCACTAGTTGGATAAACACGATCGACTCACGTCTGAGTATTTTTTTGCACGAAGCTATTACCATTAGTGACACAAAACGTGACGTGGCCAATGACACTCTCAATTTCACCGATCAAGAAACAGTTTCAGGGCAGTGTTCTGTGCTTTACACCAATTGGATTACATCTCCGCTCTGTTGGCTCGATCACATTTGTACATCAGAGATCTCTTGTTCTCAGGCAGGATAGGACCTGAGCCTCGGGCTCCCGCGAGCGAAAATGGCGGAGTGCATCAAAATCAAAGAGAAGAAAGCCCCCACCATCGACTGGGAAGTCTGGGCGGAGACGCCAGGGCTGGAGGTAGGGTGGGTGTATATAATTTGCTCCGGAGCTGGCCCAGGATCGACAAAAACGGACAAGTTGCAGATTTCGAATTGTTTATGTTGCTAGTTCAAAAGGCCCAGAAACCAAACGTCCACACTCTCCTTTTCCACTGTTTTCCATTCATTACAATTCCATTGCCTGCTAAAACCATCGAGGACAGAAAGGGCGTCGGCTCAGACAAAGCGTTAAGCGCACTCCTGTAGCCGGTTGAGTCCAATTAGACTCCCGTCAAGCAGTACTGTAAATATGTGACGTCAGTTGCCATATATAGTTATGATTCAACAAATTGACTTGTCGGCTGAAAAAGACATTGCATCAGCAAGGGCAAATGGTCAATAATTTGCTTTTTCGTGTGGCCATTATTTGGTTACAGACAAAGTGACGGGTAGGCCTAGACTTCGACTCTCAGCTAAAGTTGAGCTAGGCTTACTAATATTTGCTGTCAACAGGATGTACGACCCGCGACTAAGCCAGTTCGGTAGAAAAACACACACACAAGATCATTCGTGAATAAAGAGCACGCTCGAGTCCACGTAGAGCTGCGCTGATAGGGCAGACCTTGTGCACGCGTCCGAATGACCTCAGACGAGCTTCATTATGGGCATGCGCTGTTGGAATACCAAACTGGCTCCTCCAGTTTCTCGTAAGAATGGAAATTAATTGGCTCTTCGTGCATTTAGCAATTTGGTCAAGGGTCGGAGCTGGAACTCATCGATGGTGGCGTCGTCAACTATGTTTACCGAGTGCGGAGCGACAAAGACAAAACACAGACGGTCGTTATTAAAAACAGCGAACCGTATGTGAAGGTAAGTAAAGATCACTCTCTTTTGACGCCATCTTTGTACACTCTAAAAAAAAAGTTGGTCAAACAGTGTAGGGATTTTGTAATTTGGCCAACCTTGGTTAAGGTTACCACATTGTTGGTTAATTTCCAACACTGTTGGGAAGAATTTGCACAAGGCTGGGAAGTTGATATTTACACTAACATTGGGCAAAATAATTATCGACCCAAATTTGACCAACCTTTTTACAGAGTTGGGAAACTTACAACCGCGTATCAACGCCAACAGGTGCTTGTGCGCAGGATGTGCAAAGTGTTCTATACTTGCGCGCACGTTGGTCTAGATATCTTGGAAACACAGAGCGTATTCGAAATCCCGTTTTCCTGGGATTCATGAACAGTGTTCTCGGGTTGTTGATTACGAACGCCGCAGAGCAAATGGAGTGTACCTACGCTTAATTCAAGATAGCAGTCGCCATTTTGGACGGAGTGAAAAAGAAACTTGATATTATTTTGCGATCTTACCAAAAGTCAAATCCCAAAATATCAATGTAAAATGGTCAAGGTAAATTTTCTCTCCCACAGCTCTGTATATAAGTCTTCGGTTATATTTTTCCTATCGTGAGTGCATTCTAGTTTATGTACCAAAATCAACATCAGGTTGCGGTATGTGCTTATGTCCGCCATCTTTGTTCTTGACGTTCTCCATCCACTCTCAAGTAAGTGGGGAGTGAGAATCCTGTTCACGAACAGCTGTTCACGAACAACGTTCGCGTGTTGATTCTCGGCATTTGGAACCCCGTTTTCATGTTCATCCAACACATGAACGCGGTTATACGCCCACAGAGCGCCGATGCACGCCACAAACTTTGAAGTCAAGAACTCGCGGCAAATCTGTAGGACGTGATGCATTCGACTGAGACTTCTTGCCATCGCTCGAAAGTACGGTCAGGTTGAAGCAGGTCAAAATCTCTCGATACCCTGAGCGGTGCACTCTCCATTGCCAAAAAGCTCCAGTAGTCGGCCCTACTTTGAAGCAGAACGGATTTTGCCCTCATCTTTAATTAAATGTTATGGCGAATACCATTGAAGAAGGTATCAAGAACTTCACACAGTTTGCAATGTACAACTCTCTTTTCTCTAGGGGTTCACCATGCAGCCGCTGAGTCCAGAGAGAGCGCGGGTTGAGTTCTGGGCAATGCAGAAGATGGATAGCCTCGTACCAGGTTCGGTTCCGACACCTTACCTGTACCAGCCGGACTGCAAAATCAGTAAGTCCGGCACTCGATACGTTGCAAAAAGGTCCCTACTTGGGCCTAGATCAGTGAATATCGAGTCAGCAAGACCACAAGGTTTACTTTTAAAAGAATCATCCATCGTGACGACAGTTTTGCCTGCGCAATAATGAATATGTACATGCACGCGACCAAACAGCGTATTACATCCTTATTGACAAGATATGTGGCTTTGTAACCTCTATTTTAAGTCTCGAGGGGGGATTATACTCAAATTTCGGCACGCGTGTAAGTTAAGTTGAGATCCTACCAACTACTCTCTCCCACAACCATATCAAAAACAACATGTCAAACGGATCAGAATGCTTTGCCGACTTCAACGGCATCGAAACGCACCGAAGTCAAATATGTTTACCAAAGCTATCCACCTTGAACAGAAGCGCCCCTCATCGGTTGAAAAGAGCCACGTCGGTGGGGAGTCTTCATTTTGTTTGTAGCGATGTTACCGCAACGCTTGCATTTTATATACCAGCGAAGTTGCAGTATAAACTAGAGGAGCTTATGTTGCTAGGAATATTGTGCCCTCTCTTGGTCCCGCTCGGGGCGAATAGGGCATCGATGCTCCCGCATAAAAAAGTAGAGCCTCCCTTCACATGCTCCTGTCCGTTTAACTCCGTTGATGAATGAATTATGTTCTTGCTATCAGTGGTCATGGAGGACCTGGGCAGCTATGAGCTTCTGCGTCAGCAACTGAACCTAGGCAAGTTCGATACCTCCCTCGCCCGGAAGCTGGTTACTTGCATTGCTAAGCTCCATCGTGCCACCCACCGGGAAACGGTCGACGAGACCACACACTTGGAAATGGTGCAGTTCTGCACGTGAGTTGTCTCACATATTATTTATCACGCACAAGTTGATAAGTATTCCTCAATTTTAGACGTCGATTATTTTTCTACGGAGTTTTGATGCAAGAACAACCTTCTATCGCACTCTTCCCATCATCGTGGATGGGTGGCTTGATACGATAAATTGCCATCAGTTTTCAATTTGATCGAGACACAACCAAATATTGCTTTATGACCTTGTGGAGAGCTAGGATATTCGCCGTTTTCTCGGGCACCTTCTGAATACTGTTCACGAGATGCAATCGCTCTGGCGTCCTCTCGAAAATAAAGCTGCATCCGATTCTGTTGTCTACAGCTAGGTCTAGGTCCTCGCCCATAGGAAATGCACGGGGATCCGCTAACATATACAGAGCCTTAGCTCTGGGAGCCGTTTCAGACGCGATCTAAGTCTCGATCAAACTCCAAAACCTTTCAGAGATGTGGTTCTAAAACTCAAAGGGATAAAATGTAAATAACTTTACCTCCAGTAACCAGCATGCATTCAGAACACTTTTGAAGTCGAAACGCTTGAAGACCATCACAAGACCATCTCAAGACCAACACGGGACCTCCAAGTCCATCCTCTCCTACCAGTGGTAATTCAATGAGCTACTTGTCACTGCATGGTTTGTGGCTTGGATGGGGGTGGTCTCGACTACATCGCTAATACACAGCCACCGCGACGTTCACATGAATACAGGTGCTTCATATTAATTCCAACAGCTTGAATGACATGCAGTTCATTCGCACCGTGTACCTATTCGACGACCCATTGCAAAGGAAGGGGGATGGGCAATATGCCCAAGAGATGGAGGCGTTCACCCGGGACGAGGTTTTGCAGTCCAACTGGCTCAAGCTTCGGGCGATAGACATCGACAACCACGACTGCCTAAACCATGGCGACTTCCACCCCAGCTCGGTCATGGTCAAGGAGTCCTCCATCAAGGTGAGTGTAAGACCAGAAAGAGAAGCTACCACGACACGAGACAAGACTACTGCTGTAAGCATTTTGATCTTGTGTTCATCATGCAAAATGTAAATTACAGGCCTAGGCAGTAATTTAGTGTAATAATTAACCAGCGTAAACCAATTGGATACACTCCTTTTGCTTCATTCTCACGTCAAGTCAACGACAGGCTAAGATTAACGCGAGGTTGCAGTATGGAGAGGTCTTAAGGCATAGGATAAAACATTTCAGTTAATTAATTAAAACTTCATATTTTATCATTCTATCATGTTCTGTCGTGGTTTCGTACAATTTTGGTCCCAGATCATACATGAAATATAATAATTCAGATGCCTCTTCTCGACTCGTGGCGTTATCACCCTTTTCAAAATGTTGTACCTTGAACAGATTTTTGACTTCGAGATGGCGCACATGGGACCGGCTGCCACGGATTTGAGCTACATGCTCTGCAACTTTGTCAAGTCCTTTCTCGACCACAATTACTACCCGCTATCGGAGGGTTCAACTTACCACGACCGGCTGAAGAAAGCGATAGATGACACAGGTGGGTCGGGGAATCAGCCATTGGATGGTCAAATATTTCCGCTAGAAGAGAGCCATGAGATTCAGGTTCCATTCAGAGTGTGATGAAAATAACTCCTCGTTATGATCGATGAAAATGGGCACTTGGCCGTATACATTGACGGTTCCAGAACCAATTTAGAGGGCTGGAACAAGTTCTTTTTGGAGGGCCAGGGTACAAAATTAAGATTTTTTTGCAATTGGATTTTCCAATAGACTAGTAGAGTCCACAGTCGAATCAGGTAGGGTTGGCAGACAGTACGGAGTATGCACAATCATCTGGTTATCTGAGCAAGCATATGCATGCAGCGCCTGCTCGTTGGTGATGGGCAGAGGTTGATTATTTACTAACACTTTGGGAAATAGATGCTGTTTACTTCAACAGGGAGAAGCTTTGGATCAAACGCCTTTGTACCATACAACCCCATGGCCTGAACATCCAAGAGGGAAACTACTCATTAACACTCTTTTCTTTCCCTGTCGTTTGCCTGCAGATTATACCCCCTCCCACTCGGGGTCCAGTTCCATCCATTGTAGTTTTTTCTTTGATCTCTTCCCACCTTCCATTCCTTTGTTGTTCAACCATGCCTTCCACGCAGTCCCCTTTATCCAGCCTGCAGCTTTCTTGACCTTTCCTTTGGTCCTCTTGCATTCATCCATACTTGGCTGATTCTCCGTTTGCCTGTTTGTCCTGTCCACTTGTCAGTTTGCCTTTGAGAAACATTCCGCTGGGATCGGAACGTCAGGCCCTCCATATTTTGAGATTTGGAAATAGATTAACTTAAAAGGGTTCTTGAATTTAAGGTTTGGTCATGTATCTCACTTTGTAGAACAGACATGAACATGTCCACTTTTTTGGTTAGCTCAGCGTTGAATAGTCAATCCCAAATGTTGTAATTATCGCCAGTTGCGATCAAAGTGAAGTTTGTACTACACAAACACTACAGAAACTCGTTTTAACAATTAAATTAAACTCAATATTTTCCCCAGTTGCACACTGTTACCACACGTACCGATAAAAGTCCGAGCGCATCCTTAATTCGGATTATACCTTGTACCTCCTAGTGGATTCCTATTTCTCAGAAGCTATGGAGTATCTGAGTGAGGCACACTGTACCCGCACGATATCAGAAACCGCTGGCTTCACCGGCGCAAGACTAATCCGCAGGTAAGTTGCGCAGTTATGGGTTAGAGAGGAATCCACGGACATTTCACGAGACACTTCATCTGGCCACCTTCAGTGGGGTGAGCACTGCGTAGGGCTTTCAGACAGAACGCGACTGGATAGGAACAGAGGCTTCGTGCAATTAGAACCTTTCCCTAGTGACATCACGATTGTGCTGGACCTATGATGTGTTGTGATGGTAATGAGTGCATAGTGTTGCGATGGCCCTCAACCTATTAAACTAGTCAAGCATGTGGCGTTTGCATGTGCGCTTGCACGTGGTTGAAGCTGCCCGTAGGAATATATGCGATCACCGTGGCCAAGGCGGTCCACACATGGTGGTATTGTTTCCATTTAGTCACATGGGTGAAAAAGGTCTATAGCGGTCACAATGCTTCATTGTACCGCCATTAAAGCTGGCCACTGATAATAACCAGTGACGCACCATGGTCACCGGAATCGTCTGTAAGACCACGGCTTGCAGTAACATACCGGTTTACGGGGTGAATTGAACCGTTCAAGCGGGCGACTGTGGTGTGATCCTGTGTTATCGCTAGTCGAAGTAGCCGCTTAATTTCGGCTCGTCAGCATTTCAAAGATTTTACTTTTTTGAACTGCTGTTTTGAAGTCCGTTCAGAAATGAGGTCAGGTGCATTACTTCTAACTTTAGAGACTCAGATGATTACTGTTTGTATTTCAAGAAAACAGCTTGATGAACCATCAGATATTCACATGATACCGTTTTATTTCAGGACCACCTTTTTTCCCCTCTAGGGTCTGGGGCTTACGGGAGCCGGACGAGGATCTAATCCAGCCACTGACTGACCAGGGCTGCTTGCGGATCGGGACCCGCATGGTCCGCGACTACGAGAAGATCCGCACCACTGAAGATCTCAAACGATATGTAATGGACATGCACGAGTAACGTCTACAACAAAGTGGGCAATAAAACTAGCGCTTCCTCCAATTTACTTGGCTATGGCTTGAAATTGCACACAGCTCTATGAGAACAGATTTACGCGGCATCCAAGTACCGATAATTCGGACACGGCCTAAGTCTGGATTATGAGAAACAGTGGCTTTCGAAGCATTTTGTAAACACAGCGTTCATGCACTGCATCATTTTATCAATAAAATTAGCTGAAAGGTAGCAAGTGGTTTTGTTTGGAATATAGTCTCTTACATATAACAAATTTATGGCACCATTGCAGCTTTCTTAATACATGTTAACAACTTTAGATTTAACCATATTCTAGTTATTACAACACAGCGAGTTTGCTTAGCAAAGGTCAGAGTTTGGTTCAAAGATGTCCGCGTATACACGTGACCACGCCTGTTTGTTTCACATATCTGGCGTAGACATCCCTTTATTCTCCTGTGGTTCAGAAAACTCGGGCAAAACGCTCTTTTTTTCGCTCTCTGATAACTCCTTCGCGCTGGATTTTCGAAGGTGATTTCCTGGACTATTCCTCTCCATTCGGCTACGGATAACCTGACCTTAAAATGCCTCTCAAGCTATTTTTCAGAGAGGGGAAACAATGCGTGGACCATGTGTGAGTCCGCACAGCGTCCTCTAAGCACACAATATGCGGAATTCGCTTGCGCCGGTGTCCACACTAAGCATGCCTCGCTTACACAAGGTGTCCATCATGGGGAATTTCTTTTACTTTTGCATGTTGTGGTATTTGATAGTTACTGAATATTTATAGAACTCTTTGGGTAACAGCGTTAGTGTCTTTTTATTCAAATGTTGTGTTTTGTTTGTGTTACGTACTTGCATATAAAGTTTTACATAAAAAATTAAAACCGTATTGGATTGTGCTTCGTTGTATATGCATGAATACATTCATATTAATTAAATTTCACGTTTAGATTTTGAAGGCATTTGGCCATTTTAATTAACAAAGCCTTTCCCGACAAAACGTTCCCAAGACACAAAACCGCCGCCAAAATCTGATTTAATGTTCAAACCAATAAATCTTAAAATGCCCTCTTATAAATCTCCTTTCTAATTTAAGGAGTACCGATTTCGTGTTGTTTTACACGGCAGGAGGGTGCTCTGTGGCCACGCCTCCCCCGATGAAGTCATTTCTGTACATCAAAAATGACTGATTGTGCAAACAGTTCTGAAACCTATTGTCCAAAATAATTTTAAAAGTGCATGCATTTTGAATCGTACCTGCGTGTTCAACCACACGAACGCTCTTTACATCAGCATAGAGAGATATCTTCTTTATTCTGCCAGCGTATAGCCTACTGTCAAAGCGACGCGATAACCTTTCGTTGACATCAGACTTCCTCGCGACACAATACACAATACACTGGAGATTTTAAAACACCGATAACAGCCTTGTTGCGTTTTGTTTGTTTCCCATTGTGAAATACGGCGCAAAATGCAAATAACGCAACAGAGCTCGGCTGCAGAGGTTGTAGTTTTCTGTCACAGTTAATGATATACCAGGCACAGGGTGCAATTTGGCATGGTTTCGAAGCCGCGCTTTGATATGAAGGATGTATCAGGGCAGCCGCTGTTACAAACAGTCGGGTTGATTTGGTTTGGTTTGGTTTGATTTGGTTTGGGTGGGTTTGATTTGGTTTGGTTTGGTCTGGTTTGGTTTGGTTGGGTTTGGGCGGGTTTGGATTGGTTTGGTTGGGTTTGGTTTGGTTTAGTTGAGTTTGGTTTGGTAGGGTTTGGTTTGGTTGGGTTTGGTTGGGTTTGGGATGTTACAAACAGTCGGGTTGGTTTGGTTTG